CAGAGTTCAAAGCTGTTGCACATAGGGGCGCTATGAGTCACAAGAGACTCGATGGTGCATAACAAAAACAGCTCTTTATTTTATAGTTCTTGTCAGTGTTTTTCAGTTTCTTTTCATTCTGCTGGAGATGACATTGTCTTAGGTTTTTGTTTCTTTGTTTTTATTATGGAGTTTTTTTCCTTTTTGTTGTGTGCCATTGATTCAGATCTGACTGGCACAGAAGGAGACTGCCTATCCTTCTCCAGTGGAGCATCTGTTGAATTTGAACCATGCACCTTTGGGATTTCAGTGCAGCTTCTTGCCACTAGGCCACAAGAACTCCCTTTGTCTTAGATTTTGATTACATGAAAACCTACTTCTTTCCCCCTCATTTTAAAAGAAGTGTGCTTTCACTGACTATGGAATTGTGGACTAACTTGTTTTCTTTTAATATTTTAAAGACATTATTCTATTGTTTTCTGCATTTAAGAATTTCTATTAAGGAGTCAACAATGAATTACACTGCTTTGAAATATATCTGTCTTAACCTCTCCCCCATCTCTGAAATTACTTTTAGTAATTATTTGTTATCTTTTGTTTTTAACAGTTTTATTATGGAATGCCTAGGTGTTGATTTCTTTGTATTTATACTGTTTGTGATTGGTAGTTCTTCTTGAATATGTGCTTATATTTTAATCAGTTTTAGAAAATTTTAAAACACTATATTTGACTATTGTTTCTTTCCAATTTACTCTCTACTCTTTCTAGAACTCTTACTAGTTTAATCGCTGAGGTGCCAGTGGTAGGTTTAACCTTATTGGAGATGTGGGTGCACAAGACTATCATAGCTTGATGCTATTAGATATTTGAGTCATCTAATTCTCTGTCCCCTACTCTCAAAGCAACCTTCACATCTTAAATTGGCATCTGTGCACATTTTCCTCTAGGGGAAGAATGTGTTGGACACAAGAGGGAGCTCTCTTCACAAAGTCATTTTTAAAAAATGATTATATTGTTTTATTGGTTTAGATATCAGCACTGCCTCTGAGTTAATATGATCTGCTTCCCAACCCTCCATACATAGGCTGTTCTTCAGTGTTGTTAAGTCAAGTTTATGTGCCTGGACTATGATAAATTCATCAAGGTAAATGTCATCGCTGAGGCCAATTGGCATTTGGCCAATGAACCTGCCTTCGTGACAATTCTGTCTCTTCAAACATATTTTCTTCTGATTCCTGTGCTTGCTGACTATGTTCATCTCCACCATCTATTTCTTTATCCACCACTCTGTCTTTTTCTCTATGACTGTCTCTCTATGCTTTCTTGTCTCATCACTTAATCTTCCTTTATCCTTCCCTTCCTTTTTCCTTCTTCTGTTCTCCACTTTAACTATGGAGTTGGATAATAATGCATTCCAGAATGCTGTATTAGGGACTGTCCTGGACCATGTATGAAGATTAAATTCTGACCTCCTGATAAAAAGTAATTTTACATTCCTTGCATTTCACAGAGAATGAAGAAGAGGTTCATAAAGACCAATTTTGTTTGAACATTTGAAAGGGTTTTTTAAACTGCTTAACTTTGTTATTAAATAAAATTGAATATTTCATTTTATTAAGAAAAATAAGTAATAATGTTGTTTGTAATTTCTATTTTATTTTGCCTGTCTTTTATAATAGCAATGTATCCACTTCTGGTATGTTTCTCTCTTTTCTTTCTTTCTTTTTCTTTCTTTCTTTCTTTCTTTCTTTCTTTCTTTCTTTCTTTCTTTCTTTCTTTCTTTCTTTCTTTCTTTCTTTCTTCCTTCCTTCCTTCCTTCCTTCCTTCCTTCCTTCCTT